GCTGCTTCCATAAATATGGACATGCTGGTCGCCTGGGGGAAACACCTTACTGCCTTCACACTTCTGTCGCAGAGGACAGTACAACTTTACCCCCAGACCGCCCCGTACCACGATTGCTCGAAGTGCGGGGTCTCGCTGCTCTTGGTCTGGCTGCTCCCCTTTGGCCTTCCTGGCATGGTTGTACCTTGTGGAACGAAGTTCCAGCCAGTGTAGCCCGCGGGATCATTGCAGCACTCAAGCTCGACCACCACGTCAAGGTGGCAGCTTTAGGTCGATTACGCAAGATTCCATCGTGGTATATACCCATTATGAAGAAAAGAAAAATCGTCACTCGGTCTTGAAGTACAGTACTGCGCTGAATGAGTAAATCAATATCAGTTACGCTGAGCGCATCCCCAACAATATGAACTTAGGTACACACATCTGATATTCACTGAAGTACTCAGTGCTGCATTCAGCTAAACCAACCGATTAGCTGATGCGATGGTTGCCCTCTGAACCGGCTGTTCTTTAGAGTCCCGAAAATGGTTTCAAGGCGTTTAGCTCCAATCTCCTCACGGTTACACCCAAAACTCAAGCAATGTTCCATCAATCGCGATATTCTTCGCTTCTTGCGGCGGTCTGCCGTGGAAAAGTCAGGGTATTCTTCATCTGCTTGGAGAAACTTCTACTCGTGCTGATTTCGCCTTGGATATCACAACTGAAAACTGGCGAATTTTGCGCCCAAGATCAATAGCATTGCTAGATCCAGCGTTTACATCGGTGACTGCCTAGCCAGCTACATCAGAGACTACAGCTGTCCAGCTTTCGAGGCAGATCCAAACTTACGAAGTGAACAAGCAATCACAATACCATTATTCATCAGCGGTGCGAAATAATTAGCGATGAGTGGACGACCTACATCCTCTGAAGTCATTCTTTGTATCAGGTGGAATTTACTGGATGATCGACTGCAAACTGAGCCTACCAACTGTCGTTTCTGGTGTCAATTTACGATCCTATGGGTATGGCATACAAGTAATCCTTATTTCGAGAAGTCATCTTAGAGTGAGCCGCTGTAGGAGACACACGATGGTCTGGTGTAAACGGTTGGAGCCTGTTGATCTTGTAACAGAACTCACTCTTCCACCCTACCCTATGCCTGAGCTCACTCGGTAGGTTTGCGATTTGTATCTACACGTGTTCTACCAGGTGGAGATTGGTTTCGATACTGTTAGGTATCTGACTGTCTGCTCTAGGTATAACTCAAATTACATTAACTGTATGGAAAGGAATAGGGAGGAACATCTACCCAACGTGCACTACCCCGTGTTTGGAGCTGGCAACACCAACTTTGGCCGTAGAGATAGCATCGTTAGTTCCAGTTCAGTTGCATTTGGATACTTCTGCTTGGACGCATTCACTGATTGCCCCACGCAGAATCAAAACTAAACTTCCTACTTAGGTCACGAACTGATTTTGTATTTGTGCAATTTAACCCAAACACCAGAAGTTTCCGAGGGGTTACACAGATGATAAAAGATAAAATAGGGGTTATGTGGGTTACTTTCCTCATTTACGATTACTATTGCAAGTGGACGCACAATAAACTATAGACGAAACGGGCGGGATTGCTGATAGAACGTTGACTACGGATGAAAGGGGTTGAGATCCTTTCCTCCCAAGTTTGCGAGCTAGAGACCTTGGATCGGCCTGCAAAGAGCGATTGGTTGAGGTGAAACAAGTCACAACACAGGCCCAAACCAAGGCGTAATCAGAGCCCGTACACATATAACATAAGTAGTCGGTCGTAGACGCAGGATCGCCACCTATAGACGACTGCTTAGGTGCTCAAAGATTGAAATTAAGATGGTACCAGGTTGCACAGTCGTCACATCTGTGCTGAAAGTTTCATTGCGACAAACAGACATAGCATATTTGTATGGAGCCGACATGACTGTCGGTACGGGGAACATTCTCACCTAATATGTCACTTTCATGCCTACCGATCTTATCCGCTGTAAAAATCACCAGCTAGAATGAGGTTTTCCATTAGCAAAAAGCCTTCCATAAAAGGTCACGCAACAGTTTCTAGTAGGACGTATGCAAACCTCAGGTGTTGGGTCGTTCGCAGAGAATCCTGATACCCGTTCAGTCCGACTGCACAAGCTTCCACATCAGTGAGACAAGAAAGGCTACTTCAGGTTCGGAGTAAGGCGTGAGCGGCTGAGTTATCCTGTACACTGCTGTGTGCCATCGTACCACGATCATGTGTCCCGGAAACAGTACATATTGACTTTTAATGAAGAAAAGATAAACAAAAAAAAGTGTTACCCTATCTGACAGAATATGAACATTAAACGACGCTACCTTGAACAGACTACACGGTCCCAGCAACAAACGTTTCATATTTGTCCGAAACGAATGCGCGCCGAATTTAGGGAGAAACCGACAAGATCGTACCGGCGATGGAGTGTAGAGGTGAAACTGGCCGCTGTACTTGTGTCGGGCGAACAGGCGTTGCTTTTCGGCTGTGAGAGCCGAATAAAGAGGCTTATCTGGGCTTATCAGAGACTTGAACCACAAGGCAATCGAGGAAATCACGATCTTGTTCCGAAACTATCCTCGTAGTGAGACTCAAGCGCTTGACACGCGAAGCAGATGTTGAGGTCTGCGACTTTATAGTTAGATCCGCTTGGTTGAGGAGGGCTCACCCAGATTAGAGGTGCGGAGAGTATGGCATAGTTATCTGACTCCTAATGCCACTGCGCACAGGTCCAAAACAAGAATTTTGTTCCGCGTGTGTGAGAAAAGTCAAACTCAATTCATAACATGTCGACGAACCAACAAACTAACGTTTACCTAGATAGCGACCAAAATTATTTGGATAATTTCCAATCTGAGCATCTACAAGTAAACAGACTAAAACTACAGTGTCCGCAAACCCAATGCATGCGCTTAAGGCCATCTGTTGACTATCCGCACAAGATTCCCGAGATCAGCTTCCAGCCTTGAAGTGGACGAAGCAGTGGAGTGATTGTAGTTGCCAACAGATCTCAGGTCGTGGCCCTTAGCTGATAAGTCAATTTGTGGACACGTGGTGTGAAACAGCAGTTTCCTATGTATAACTACAGGTTCGGACCGCTCAGCTGTGGTACCCTGCTATTCAATCTAATGACAGCACTGATAATCCACAATGAAGGCTTCATGGATAGCGCCCAACCTGACAGGTTGAGTTCAACCCTACACCGAGATTTGTGGAGGGTCCAAGCCTCCCAAAATCCAGGGCTTTCGCCGTGAGCTAAACGAACATTGCACGAACAAAGTCAGGAGTCGGACCCCCAAAATCCCATCCTCACATCGGCGAATTATTAGCCATGGACCTTCATGATCGATTGCGTGCATGGCAACGATTATCACAGAGTGGTATAGAATACCATTGCCAATCTCAAGATGGTCTGAGGCTTTGGTATGTGAGCTACGGCACCACTGTTCGACCGATGCGTGCACATAGGTTAAACCAGGTGGATAAAACATTCGCTCTTCACACGATTCTTCACTTGATCTTGGCGCCGGGTTAATTTGAAAAGAGCTAGAATTTGCTTACCAGGTTTGAGACTCCAGCTCGCTTGGCATCTGGAAGTAGAAATAGAGTATGCAATCAATGCATTAAAAAATCAGGGGGGAAATGACGACGAACCAATGGTGATCAACCAACAAGGTGCGCGCGCGACCAAACTACACTAGAATTTCTGCTTACGTCAAGAGAACATCACCTGTTGAAGTTGGAAGAAGACAGTTACGAACAATGACGCGAATATCGACACGTTAGCAGCGTCGATAAACCTTACCTCTGAACTTGTCTGGCCGAATGTCCTTTACCATGAAAGCTATTACGTTGCATGTGTCGCCGGAACATCGACAAGGAATATCGAAGAGCATGGTCGGAATAACAAGTACAGCACAGCGAGTTCGCGCCGAGCGGAAATCAATACTCACCAGTGAACTCAACTAATTAGCGTAAATGTCACACCTGGAGAATTCACGATATAAATTACATCCCACCAGTGTGGATCGCTCAAGTCACACGTAGGTGTTCCGAACAGCTAGGGTAAACCGTGTGGCTGTTCACTCGGACACATGGTTCTGTAATCCCTGGAAGCTCAGGAAGAGTACCGGTAGTAGCAACGTCTTTCAATCCGATCTGCTCAATTTCTGACGATTCCATGGTAGCTCAAAAGCCAGCCACAACTTAGGCATACGTGAGTTAGCCAACCAAAGTTGAAAAGGGTAGGACTCACATAAGCAGATTTGCAAAATATAATTTTATGAAAAGGTGATCGGTTTTCGTCCAAAGTTAACAACTTCCACCCCAAGTTAGTTATGCAAATAAGTTCGGTGCAGAACACCCGAGAACTGCACAGTAGTATAAAACTGTGAGCAAATTTACCAACCACGCTGGAATCGGTGGCTATCGAAAAGGGAGATTCCTGACATAGCTCGTTACCATGTTACATTCACCCGAGAAACCGGAAACACCGGGAAGCAAATTCATACACGCAGAATATAAGGGCGAGGCAAACAAATGACACAACACAATCACAGGATCGGATACAACAAAACCAGTTGAGATTACATATAAATGAAACCCAATCAAGGATACCCCGAAAGCACCTGTGATGTTATTGTATGTTGAATAACATCATGGACAGCAACATGGCTGTCACTTGTTTGACTGTAACATCAACCGCCACTCAAAATTTTTTGAAACAGGAAGGGTGCGAACTTTACCGGTGCATCACAGTGAAGACGCCCGTAAAAACGTAAACGCATGCGACAATTGAGCCGGAGGTATCAAGCTCAGCTATCTGCACTTGGCCAGTGGCATACCATTCGGTTACGGTGAACCAAGGCTGGAGAGCTACGCTAGCAGTATAATGCAGTTAGGCCGTGAAGCGTCGTTGAAATGTCTTGGAAACATTATCAAACGTGTGACCAAACAATACACAGGGAAGCTGGACAGTGGCAAGGCGAAAGTACCAAGAGCAGGTACTCGTGAGGTGTTGCGCTTAGTTGTGGTGTAGTTATTAGGGTTAGAAAAATGACGAAAGCACAGGCATAGTTCATTGCATGCACGGACGAAGAAACATGAGATTTACAAAGTGTACCCCGGTGGGACGCATGATGAAAGTCTACCGCGGAACAGAAATGGTGAGAAGTAAACATTCGGTAGAAAAGAAAGACGGCAAAAATGGAGGTCGAGGGCAATGAAGCCTCCCGATGCAGGTAAAGGGCGCAAAGCTACAGAATACAGCGGACGATGGGAAGAACACAGCTGATAAAATTTGATACCACATCAACTGGCTCAGACTAACAGCCAAAACAATGCACACCAAAAATTGAGACATTTAGAATAAGCTCAAATCATGCTAGTCGAAAAGAAGTTACCGGATTAAAAACTGCTGATTCCCAAAATGGAGGTAAAATATTGGACAGAACGAGAAGTAAAATCAGTGTAATATGTTAGGTGGAGCAGTTTAACAATTCGGCCAAAACTATAAAATAATCTACTAGAATCGCAGACCAGTTTAAATACACTTTCCTACATGGAACGAAACCGGGCAAGTAAACGTTTGGAATTACCCATACCACAGCAGCTGAAGTATGCGCTGAATCAACAAGACGACTGAGTAACGAGTTTGAGACTACAGGACGTCTTTCAGTCTGATCACCTTCGGATAATTTTTCGAACGGCAACAGAAGTAAACTGAAGTAAACTCCAACTAGTGAGCGAGGTGAACCCGGATGAAGATTTAAGTCTAGAACCGTAAAGTGGAGCGCTTCATGACGGAGACAGTAAAAGCAAATGCTCTGGTTCGCGTCCTGAGAGCCGCTCAAGAGCGTCCGGTGGTATGAAATGAGTGTTCGACACTGATGCTTTGCTGTTGTGTAACCATGATTTATTTGAAAGCCTTATTGTGAAGAAAAGACGACAAGTGGACGAGGAGTAGTGCCTCCAGCTGCTGGAAATGCCATTCAACCATGATCAAGCAAGCTTAACGTAATACGCTGAAACCAAACTAAATGCTTCAGACCTACGTTAAAGAGTGGCAGTCGTAGTCAATGTGAAACGTTTTTTTTTCTTGGCTAGCGTGAATTTCACTTGCAAGGGGCCTTAACATGGGGCATTCCTCTCTGTAAACCGTTTACTGCGAGCATCTAATGACTGCGAATAAAGTCATCACCGCTGGATTCTAATGGCCATACAGCCTGGTTCGAAGTTTGAGAGCTGGGAACAAGGGGGACTTGGGAGTTACCGCCCGAAACACTGGTTGTATAACCACGTACGCGAGTTCTGATTGAAGATGCACACTGAGAATGTTTGAACGCGTTGAGCTCTCCAGTCGCCCGCATGAGTAATTGGTTAAGTACCCAATACATAGGGCTATAAAGCCCTGAACGTCTTGTTTTATCTTATGTCAGAAACCTTTGGCCTTCATCCCTATTCACAGTGACACTAAAGCTGAATATCGTTGACAAGCTGTCGTACAACCACTGTAAAACTTACTCATAGATGGATAAAAATACGCGTCCTATATATAACAGTCCTGACTACGCTTAGTACTCTCGCCCGGTGCCTCCTAATAACCTAGCAATACCTGCGGCAATGAACATAAGCTTCTACACCTTTTTGCTTCGCGTATGGCGACCAACCGATGCCACATAGACAGTCAGTAGTTTCACGCTGTATGCACTCTGAATTTCATTCAAGCTTGATGTCATTTTGTGTTGTGCCTTACAAAAACGGGCGCACTTTTTCCATTCACCGAATCCGGCGACCAAACGTATCTTTGCTCCGTAATTCACACAATCGACTTCATCATCATCATCATCATCATCACCATCATCATCATCATCATCATCATCATTGTCAGCTGTAAGAACCGCGTACTCGTCGTACACTGGTTGTAGCTGCCGCAGTTTCGTTCACCGATGATTTGGGGGGGAGCTGCGCATTGCACGCGCGAGCTG